TGCAAAGGGAAGTGCTTTACTGTTGCCATTTCTTCACCCACAAAGGAGCAGTGAAGAGGAGGACAGGCTCTCACTGAAATAGCAGATGACGGAGTGGGTAGTAGCTTCCTCTGTGGCACACACTACTTGTGTTCAGGGCTTACACATGGCTTTTGGGTGGAGATGTGGCACATATTTATACTTGTCTGCTTGGCTGACAATTGCTGTTTGGGATTCAGCTGGAATTGAGAGTCAGTTGGAATCAAGCATGAGCTGTTGCTGTTGGGGCTCTTGGTAACACTGAGAATATTTTAAAGTGCACAGTCTCATCCTCTGTGGTTAACCAGTTACTTGGACAGAAAGACAGGTAACAGCAGTGAGGCTGAAATGCACTGTCTCTATTTGCTTAACTTACTAAGCTGCAAAAGTTTTCCTGCACTTCTGAATCACTGAGCTGACAAAAGTGACGGCCTGTGGGGAAGAGGAAGAGCTTCTCACCACTGCAAGCCCTCGTGCTTTGTTGCACTTCGAAATTTATTGATCCATCAGACTGGTTGCAGTTCTAGCTCACACACCCAACATGTATGGTATATTTTCCTGAAATTATTCTTTCTTCAACAAAGATTAAGACAGTTTGGCCTGAAAAACAGTAAATGCAATTATTCCAGTGTTCTTGTTTTGTAGTTGTAATGCATGTGGATTGGGGAACCCACTTTACCCCACTCCTAAACAATGCAGTAATGCTAGACAGAGTGAAAGTTTTATTTTGGGCCACTTGTCCCCTGAGCAAAAGAGTAGATATTCTAGGGCCTGCAGGTACTGGGAAGTTACCAGCCTGACCTCTTCTTCTTGGTCCTCTGGAATTTGTTGATAGCATTCTTGGTAGGCAGTGCCAATGCTGTATGTTACATGAACCCGGGACACCTGGTCCTCGCACTGGAAAGTCATCATGTTCTTGTAATGGTATCATTAGGGTGGGGAAGTTGCCCTTCACTCTTCAGGGATCTACAAGTTCACAGGTGGGCAGGCAGAAATGGTTTGTAGGCAGATTTAGCATTGAATTGCTGTTCCAGCATTGGTGATCTCCCAGTGTCTCATGCTAGTTTTGCTAGCAAACAAGTCCCTTTAGAATATTTGCTGTCAAGGCAGATAGAGCTTGGTGTTCCTGGATAGTCTTATTCTAGAGAAACAGAGATCTGCTTTTACTTTTCTCTGTCTTACTTTCCTTTCTTTCCTTTCTCTTTTCTTCATTCCCCAAACCATCTCCAGGATGGGGAAAGATAGTCATCTTCATTGAGATTGCTTTTTTCATACCGTGTTTTGAGTGTGTGACAGATATGTGAAGTCTCAGTCCTAGCACCCAGGGCTGCAGGCTGACTAACAAAAATGGATGGCTCCAGAAACACTTCTCCTAACAACATGAAAATAACAGAGTGCACTGGGGCAGATGGAAGAATAATTAGATAAAATTATTCCAACTTTGTGGTTAACCTGTGTATGTGGCTGCAGAACTATGATATTAAAGTTTGAGAGGATATTGCATCTCATATGTATTTACTGTTCAAAACCTCTCCCTGCCTAGGACTGTAATAGTTGAGCAACTGATAGCAGCCTCGTGCTTCAAGCCTGATAGCTTTGAGGTGCACAGCATCAATTTTTGTTGCAATCATGTTATCATAACTGGATGTCCTCAAGATGTATCAAAATGAGTACTGTACCTTGCTTGGTTTCCAGACCTGCTTGCAAGCATCTCCCATCAAACATGGGAGCACATAGAAAGCGACTCTAAAACGGCTCAAACAACTTCCATCATGTGCTTCACTTGCATATTATAGCTGAGGTCATGAAGCACAGTGTGTTGGCCTGTGAAGATGCTGAGCAGCAACCTTTGCTTGACATCATGTTTGGGGTAGATGGCATATTCTGGAGCAATATTACAGACTGGAAATTCCTAGAGGCCTCTACTCCCTCCTTCCCAGTAGACACCTGCTCACCATTTTTCTGTGATGGGATCTGTGCTAACACATCACAAAAGGATGGTTGGTGGCTGCCTTTACTTTACTTGAAAGTAATGTAGATCCCATAATCTGTCCTGACATTACTATTGATTTTTCAGAGCCCTCAAGAGAGTCATCTACTGAGGAACTGTGTGAACAAACACACAAAACTTGTGTTTGTTTTGTTAATTTTATCTTGGATAGATGTACTCATGTGTAGCCTTTGCAGATCTTAAATAACCAGGTGTGTATAAAGGGAGTGAACCCATGCTGAGCCTGCCTTAGAGCTGCTCCTGCTTTCATTAAAATAATTATTATTTCAGCTCTGGTTTCCCCCAAGCAGAGAGCAGTAGCAAATTAGAAGGGTTGTGGAAATGGACGATGAGCAGCTGAAGGCTTTGGGAAAAGATTTTACATTAAGAGGACAGAGAAGATTGATATCTTTTATAAGAAGATAGCTAACAGGTACAGAGTAATGAATGGATGAGAAGATGGATGAGGACTTCTGTTCCCACCTGCTAATAATATGAAAGTCAAATTAGAAGGTGCTGAATTCATTCTTGATGAAAGAAACTATTTGTTCACGACCACCATCTATGAAACTCACTGCTGCCAGGCAGAGCTCTGGGAAAAGAACTTAGGAACTTAAAAAAAGAGGAAGGGGTAAAAGGATACCTGTTGGTATATACAAAGCAATTGCAATGATTAGAAAAATGTAGGTGTTTTGCCACGGTTCTAAGGGTGTTGGTCAGGTTTTTATAAGGGTATGAACTACCTTGTCCAGCTCTTTTTTTTTTTTTTTTTTTTTTTCTGTCCCTCTACAGGGCTTTTTTTCCCCGTAGTCGCCTATAGCAGAATTGTGGAGCATGTTACTGGCCGCTGTCACTCAGGGACTGCAAGAGAGGGTGGCTGCTCCTGCTGCAGTCGAATGTGGTAATGCCTGCTTGCAAACCACCTTTTCTGTGTCAGTCTTTCCAGGATTGCCAAATTCACACATAAATTAGGATGCTTTTGCTTTTCCGCCAAGTTACTGCTTTTGATAGTCCTTCACAACTTGTCTTAGATCTGGAATGACGCTTTGCCTTTTGAGTGTGTGCTGGGGGAGAGGCGGGTGGTTAAAGTTAGATTCCTTCTGACAGTAGGGATTTAGAAACTGCTGCATTGGCTCAGCCCTAGGATCTGCCTAGTCCAGAGACTGGATAGCAACAGCCAAAATCGGATGTTTCAAAGGCCAGTGTGAGGCCACAGAACAGATTACTAAAACAGAAAGCTGCTCTTTTATATCACTGATGTTTGTCCATAAATTGGAAAGGCAAAGATTGAGAGTTTGTTTGATCCAAGACTACAAAAGCTGGAAAATCCCATTGCCTGGCTGATGCTAGTTAACACTGATGTTTTGTATCCTCCAGGAAATTGCTGTGTTGCTTGTTTTCTCTTAGGGAAATCAGGGATGTGCTTACCCTTAAACAGCATTTTTAGATGGTGCCTTTAAGATGGTGTAAAAATCAGTAATGCTTGTGTGTAGTCTCACAGCCCAGCTTTGGAGAGGACACACAGAATGAAGTTCTCATTTGGGAAACCACACTGGGTTGGTCTGAGAGGAGACAGCAGTGGTGGTCACTGAGTGGTTCTGGAATGTGCAAAATGGGTATCTTTTTCTGACACTGCTGAAAGCTGTCTAGCTGTTGGGTGGCAAGGGGTGTCTGTTCTGATATTTTCTTTAGTTTATTTTAAGCTTCCTCTATTTTTTTCCTCTTCTTTCAAATAAGCATTTGCAAGAATTTGATGTGATTTCTCTCTTTTCTGAAGTACTGAAATTACTATTAAAACTACTACTAAAAAAGGCATTCAATGAAGTCACTATGGAAAAAAGTATATTCCTTTCCTTGTCATATATTTTAATGTATTGGGCTCCAAAGCCAAAGAGGCCAAAAGCCAGGGGAGTTTGTCCTTTGTCAAATATCCATGGAGCCACTGCTGGGGCATATGGGAGTGGCAGTGGTGTCCCGGTGTCGTCCCGCCCCCAGGACAGACGAGGACAGCTGCTGATTAAAGAGAAGCCCGAAAAAAAGAGGTTGCTGAACTTTCAAAGTGGAGGTAGAAAAGGGAGTTAAATTTAGATTACCTTCTGCAGTGTCATCTTCTACACCACTGTGGAACTTGCTGTACTCCTTGCTTGGGGGAGGACAAACAAGACATGCCATCCTAGGCACCGGATGATAAATTTGTTTATAAGGCTTAATTGCCCCTTGGCATGAAAACATGAAATGAGCTCAAGTAGAAAGAGGAACCTTTCGACAGGGCTAGTGAGACTTTCCTTGGGGAGAGGTGGATTTGAAACTCTTCCCATCATCTGTCTGGTGCTGGAGGGGTCCAATCCTGATCCTTTTGAAATCAGGGAAGTTGTTGCTGTTACTTTAGAGGAACAGCTGTTATCTGGAGGGGCTGAGAGTTGAACAATGCTGTGAGTCAGAAAAAGTGGAATTGTGGGGGCAAGCAGAAGGTGGCGAGGAAGTGCTTTGGATCTGTGAAGACTGCTGACGTCCCAGGGTCTGGAGGTACTCAGAGAAACCGTGGTGGTGGCTTCTAGGACCAGTGCTGTCCAGCAGGCAGCATCAAACTTAGCTTTCTCCTCAGAAGCAGACAAACCAGCTATTTTTGCTTAGCGAGATTTAATCATCACCACCCTGTTGGCTCATGACAACATTTTTAATAGGCTGCCCTCCTTTGCAGCATCCCCTTAGCAGGGAGGAAAGCACTTTAGCACTTCTGTTCCAGCAGGGCTCCCTGACAGGTCCCGTTTGCAGCGACCTGCCTGGTGTCACCCAGCAGCTCAGCAGTCTTAAGGTTCAGGGCTGCCCTTTTTTTTTTTATTTTTTTTAATTTTTTTTTCGGAGGGGGCTGTTGTTTTTGTTTGTGTTGGGGGTTTTGTGTGTGTGTGTTTTTGTGCTGGGGGGTTGTTTCTGGGTTTAGTTTTTTGGTTTGGAGGGGTTTGGTTTTGTTTTTTGGGTTTTTTTCTTTTCAGAAGTGCCCGACCTGATGTCATTTCCCTCTTGCAAACAGCCTGGCTGGGCTGCGTCTGAGATATGTCACAGGGAGTGGGAGGAGGAGGAGGGGGAGCCAGCGAGTGCCTGCAGTGTCCCAGGACCCTGTTTACTTAGCATTCCCAGCTGAGAAAGCCCTGGTTTAAATAGGATCGGAGGAACGGGCTGCCCACAGCAGATGAAGAAATGGTTGCTGTGGGGCTTTAAATTCCTGCCTTCCCATGTGCTGGCGTGGAGGATGAGCCTGCAGAATGCCTTTCCTCCTGGGTCTCAGACAGGTAACCAACCGGCTTAAGTGCGGTGGGAGCTGCGTGCTCAGGTGGAGGATGTGACTGATTACTTTTATTTTTATTCCCCCCACCTCTAAGGATATGATTTCTGACTTTCCCAAAACGGAACTGTACAATCAGCACTTCCCCACCCGTGGCGTGTGATCGGAGAGCACAAGTTGTGCGAGAGACGCTTTTTATTAGCAAGGAAGGAGCAAAACTGTAAGGCAGGGATAGAAACTTCCTTGTTGTTGTTGGAGGCTTTGCAGCAGAGAGGCTCTTTGTGTTGTGCTCCTGTGCAGTTTTTGTTTGCTTGGGTTTTAGGGTGCTTTCCACAGTCCTTAAAATGGAATTGCGTTTGCATTTCTGAGAAACATGCCAAACTTTGAACTGTTTTCTTGTACAGGCATTATTTTGTATGTAAAACTATGTATTTTTTAAAAAAAACCAAGCCACAAAACCAGAAAAAAACCCAGAAAATACCCAGGAAGAGTATTTATATGTACATGTGTGTGTTTCATCTCTAAGAAAAGTCACCAAATGGAAAATGGCAGCATGCTGTGACCCACAGCTTGGTGATTTTTTAATTGTTTTGAGAGAGTTTGAGTTTGAACAAGAAACTTGGGATAATTTAATAGCTGGTAATATCGAGTGGAATGAGAAATGGTAGCAACTGCCCAGCTGCTCTCTGCTGGAGGAGGTGCCAACTATGTGTTCCTAGCCTGGGGAGAGCAAACCCTTTTTTTGGTTTGGGAGGCACGTCTGTGGGGGAATCTAACTGTAGACTCTTCCCAGCACTGCTGTGATCTGTAATCCACAATAAATATATATTGAATTATATCAGAGTGCTGCTTGCAGTTTCTAATTTAGAATTAAGAAGTCGAGATGGGACCATAACATACTTTAAGCTACCTACTTTCAGTTGTTTAGCAGCGCTAAAAGACTTTAACGCGCTGCTGAGTAAACAGTGCTGTCTCTTTTTCCTTATCAGTTCAGTTTTGGTGAAACGCAGCTCTCTCCCCACCCCNAACAGTTTTACATAAGAAACTACCTCTAGCACAATGACCTTATGTGATTGGTGCAATAGCTATAAATAATAGTTCACTTGTTAGCACTCAGGGCAGAGAGACTTGCCTTAAAAACTCAGCACTGAACCAGAGGGGGAAATACAGGCACAAAGGCTGAATGGCTTTAGGTAACTCTCAAACTGTAGTGAGATGTAGCTGCCTCAAGTGCTGAGATTGCTTGAGACTCATGGGTGTGCTTTTCTCTGAAGTTCCTGTTTTTAAATAATTCATTTTGTTTTAGAGATGTGTTCAGTGCAGTTGGGGTGTTGCATACGGTGTAAATGTAGAAGTTAGTTGTAATTTGGTTTCATTTGCTGGAACAGTGAACATCTGTTTGTCTCAGTGGATGGATGGTTCTTTTTTCTCTGCTGGTAACTTTTCAGAATCAACAGAAGCATACACAGGAAGCAGGAAAAAAAGGTGTTGCCTCAAGAACACAAAAGCAAAGTTCTTGACTATTTTTATCCACTGATAAAGGATATAGTGGGAAAGAGGTGCTTGAACTTTCCTTAGTTTTAGTACTTTTTAGCCTTAAAAAAATAAACCAAAGTATTTGTGATTGTATTCTGCATGCAAATACTATTCAGAAAATTCTTTTTCCAAGGCTTGTTACTGACCAGTGCTGTTTAATTGAAAGTGTGGGAGGAATTCAGAAACATCTCATCACCTCCATTGTTTCTTAATTTTTGCTTGGTACTTTCTGTACTGACTGGAAACACTTGGCTGTCTGGGATGCCCTTTGTTGTTCTCACTCAACACAAGGGATGCTGATCCTGGGCTGCAAGCTCTCAGGGAAGAGGTGCTGAGTGGGGTGCCCTCCCATGAGCTGTGTGATGAAGATGGAAGGATCAGAGTGAGATCTTTGGCTCCCTAGGACCAGCACCCCTTGCTCTGCACCCCTGGACTGCACTGAGCAGCTGCTTTCCCTGGATCTTCTTTCATTTCTTCTTTGGGAGCCAGCAGCATTGTATCATTGTGGATGGACTGCAAAACACATGGTAAAAGTAAGGTGTCTGGTTGATTTTGGTTGTTTTATTGTTGCAGTGGGGATGATATTTAAATGCCTAAAAAGCTAGGTCAGCACTATCTGACATCAGTGTGATGTGGGTGTATAAAGCTCCCATCCAAGGAAACATGACTGTAGAGGATCTCTGCTTTTAGTTTTAAGTGAGCATTTCCTCCTAAGGTTGGAGGTGGAAGCTCAAACACATTCACCTAGTTCACTGCATAAATAAATAAAAAAATAAAAAAAAAAAAGTTGGATTCTAACCATTTTCAGTTTTAATTTTAACTGCTTGAGGTTTTCAGCGTGGTCTTCTGTTTGGTGGTTTAAACCAACAAAATGCAAGACGTCCTTCTCAAAGCTGCAATTTCCTAGAAGTCTAGAAGTGTGTATCTTTAATGTGAGAGGGCTGAGGGCTGCAGCTGGGAAGCTTCTAGCAAGAGGTGAGGAAGTAAACATATGGAACTTAAAACACTAATGTGCACTTGTCAGAATCTGAAATTGAAACTTGCAATAAAGAAAAATTAAACCAGCTCTTATTGAAATATATCAAGGTGTCTGTGATCTCTGAAAGGATAGTGTCTCTTTAAAGATAGTTGGAGTATTTTTCCAGGATAAATTGATGCAACAAACCAATTTGTTCCTCAGATAAAGGTTAATAAAACCTTGGAGGTTCTGCATCTGCTGGGGGTGAGGATGGGTCTGCTGTGGCTGATTAATCATGGTGATCTAAATATAATTCTCCTGATGCTGGCATTAGTGAAGCAATAAATGTTGTGGATTAGAATTCCCATTTTGGAGATCTTTATTGTGCCTGAGACAGCTCAGAGGCATCATTCCTCCCCCACTTATTATACTTTTAAGTGTTTGGATATTTGCACTTAGTATGTTTTTTTTTCCACATTCAGCAAAACAAAATTTGTGGTGGGTGACTTATGAAGAAGCATCCAGACTTGATTTATTTCCTGACCTCAGCTGTCTGTCATAAGGCAGGCTTACAGGAATCTATCCCCTGTTGTGCTGGCAGGACTTGGCACACGAGGTTCCAGTAACTCCCAGCAGTCAAAGCCACTTTCATCTTCTGCAATCTTATGCGCTTTTGTTAAATTGAACCCACCAAAGATGTGTCATTTGCTCAGATGGTGGATTTTTGCTTTTATGTTCCGAAGGACTAACAGGTGTAATGTTTGTGAAGACGGGAGATGTCTGGAGGCTTTGGTACAGGCTCAGCCACCCTGGTGTCTGTAGGTCCTGAGCCGCCCTGGTGATCCAGGGTTCCCCAGCAGTTCTGCCTGTCCTTGCTGTGATTCCACCTGCTGTCCTTCTCTGAAAGGATCTAGTGAGTTTTTATTTAAGATTAACTTTGATTAGGAACTGGGGGGGCTGCTGGCAAATCAGGAATTGTTGTAATTGTGGCAAGATTGGGCATTCCAGCCTAGTATTTTCCAGTAGTAATTTTAACCTACTACCACTCAAGTGCCTTATCTGACAGAGATCATTTGGTAGCTCTGTGTTTGCATTCTCATGAGCTGTTGCTGATGCACCTCGCTAACCAACACTAGTGATAGTCTGATATGTGAGATTGAGTAACAGCCAAGTGGGAGCTAATAAATAGTGTATATCAAATTGTTGTTTCTGACATACTTAATATGCTGACAACCACTTCCATTCTGTTACTCAGAATGCTTAAAGAATATATATGGTTTAAATACTGATGTTACTCAAAATACATACTTCAATGAATTTTTCTGAGGATAGTGTCACTTGCTTAAATCCATCCTGCTTGTTATGGGTGTGGCTGGGTACTGGGAGCAAGGGACTGCTGCCTGCAATTAATGAGATTAGTGAAATAACTAGGTCAGGATTTTGATTTAATATTAAATCGATGCTTATTACCAAAGTCCCTATGAGAGCTGTGAAACCAGAAGGTCTGGAGTGGTCACAGGTAAAACCCAAGTCCTGTTAAAGCCAGTTGTATCTTGCCCTTCAGCAGATGCCATTTTGGCATTCTCCCTTCATCTTGTTGCTGGGCTTTTCTCTGTGTCTCTCCATCTGTATGCCTCTTTTTTAGGCCTTTACTCGCCCCTATCATCCTGTTGTTCTTCTCCATCTCTTCCTGTTAAAATAATAATTTGCTGCATAGTGCCTTGACAAATGCTGTAGTGAAGTTTGGAGAAGTTAGCAAATTAGAGTAGGTAAAAAACCCTGGCTATCCTAGGGGACAGGAATAGCCTATAAACTGCTGTAAGTAAATGCAAGTCACATTTCCAAGTGTTTCCCAGGGTATTACCAAGGTTAGGATGAATGGATACTCTGGCAGTTTGAATGACACATAGAGGCCATACAAAGGTGCTCATATTTACAGTAATGGAGTCTGGATTTCTGTGGAAAGAGGAGACAGAGCAAAAAGCTAAAATGGTTATTAGATTTCGTGATACTGGCCACTGCTGGTTTTGGTTACCTGATTAATGCCAATTGAGGAGTCAACTTTTATAGGTGGTTGGCTGCCAACTATGCACTTCTGAGCGTGGGCTGTGGTGTTTGTTGCTGCAGTTGCACATATTAATTTTCAGCTTGGAAAAGAGCCATGCCAGCCTGGAATTTGCTCATCTTCATCTTTCCCCCTTCTGACTTAGCAACAGTATGTGCCCAGGTTAACTGATTTATCAGAGTAGAAAAGAGAGAAGTGCCTTGATCCTTTTATTGTGATGGAACTCCACTGTCAATCAGTTATTTCCCTTCATTTCCAACATTGGCTTCAGACACAATAAATCCTAACAGATTTACAGCTATTAAACTCAACTATTTACTACTGAAAACCTTTACAAAAGTAAGGTAAGGAGGTCTGTTCCATCCTTTCTTGCAGTGAGGAGCAGCTCAGTCAACCTACAGAACCTCATGAATGTGTCTTGTCTTGATTGTGCCCCAGATTTTGACCTTTAATTTGTCACATAGACCTCCAATAAAGGTCTAGTACTAAACTGAAAGGTGAACAGAATAATTGGCTTTCTCCCTTGGCACTGACATTATTGTTTGCTGTGGCTTTGGATGTGACAACATACAGCACTGTCTTGAGTTCTCTTATATATACACCACTGCTGGATATTTTAAAGATGATTTGTAAAAGCACTTGACAGCAGAAGTGGACAACTGGCAGAGTTGTGGAGTTGCCAGTATGGTTGTGGGTTTATCAAAAATGCCAAATATTAACAGGAAAATAAGAAAAAAAATAAAAATCTTATTCACTGTTACTTTTTAAAGTTTATGACATGCGAAAACTAACCCAAAATGCCACATCTTAATACAAAGAGACTCTCAAAATGCACCAGGTGAGGCCTTCCCAGCTCAGCCAGTTTCATGACAAAGAGCCTGTATCACATATCACAAATGGTTTCTGTTGGACTGGACTGGGAGGGAATACAGGCTCCACATCTGCAGAGTGTTCTCCCAAAATCTCCTGTCAGGCACTGAATAATTCCAGTTTCTCAGACCAGCTCTTAAGATGGTACCAGGGAGGCAGTGATGCACAGGCAGCCTAGGGTACATGCTCATTTACAGGACAAAGCAAATCCCCTGAAACTAGATGGGAATCTCCTAGGCTTTGTAGGTGGGAGATAATGGATGGCATGTTCTGGCTTCTTAGTTGTGAAACAAGACTGTTCTGCTCTAATGGAGTTGAATACTCTTTGAGAGCAGACCCATGTAGATCCTGCTTAGTAATCCTGCCTGGAGGCATCTACACATAGCTGAACAAAGGCTGGTGGGGAGGGATGTGCTTGCTTGCCTGGACAACAAGAAAATGAGGCTCTCCTTCAGCAGGGAAGTCCACTCTGGAATGTAATAGCCACTGGCTATTGGGGAAGAAAGTGCTTTTGGGAAAAAACCCTCCCCCTTCCTTGTTTTCCTAAGGCTACTTTAAAAGTACTCCAAACCCCCTCTGTAATAGTTCAATAAAAACTCCATGCTGGTAAGAATGACTAAAAATTACCATTACAAGTGCTGTTTGCAATGGAAATTAGAAACAAAGACAGGTCAATGAAATATGAGTGCTTCAGTTTTCCTTCTGTGAGAATTTTTTCCACCATATATTTTTTCCTCGTCTATAAAATTAGTCTTTCAGCTCTGTGCCTTGACTATGGCTCTTAGTGTGAAAAAGGAAGTAGTATGCTTTCATAGCACAAACACTTGGGATATTGTTTCCAGTAGACATTTAAGCTCTAGATAACTGTATTGCTGATGTATCTTAAGTAGTTAGTTTGGCAGCCTATGACACAAAGAATGCATGGGAGAAGGAAGTAGAAATGATAAAATGCTGCTGGTATGAAAAGTGCAGCCTGAGATTTAAATAGAAAGTGAAGTCAGATCAAAGAACTTGGAAATAGGTAGAAATTTCCTAGCAAAGAATGTCACGGTCTCTGTCATAGCCAGGGTTGGCTCTACATAACCTTTTCCTTGACTTGCCAAAAAGGAGCAAACTTTACAGTGGCTCAGCTTTTCACAGAAATTAGTCTTGACTTAAAAGAGTAAAGGAGACTGAAACACTTGTTCCAAAGGAGTCACCTGTAACATAACCCAGAACAATGCTCTCCTTGTGCCAGAATCTTTCCCTAATAGACTGCTATTTGTGAAGATCTGTTGCCTTTACCTTTTATCTGTTTCCCTGTGCCAGGCTGTGTAATCCAGTGTTAGAGGTAGCCATGCCCTGAGCAGTAGTAAGACCATGTGACATGCTGGGATCCTTTCCAAACCAAATTATTCCTTGATTCTGTGAAACTGTTTGGAAACACGGGTGACAGTTCTGGGCCTGACATGTGGCCCCCAAGTCTGACAGCTCTGTGCTCCCAAAATCCTATTGGTGTCTGGGCTGGCAGAGGGCTGCAGAAAGGCTCCAAAATGAACTGCTTGGACTTTGAGGTGCATGGCTGGTGGTCAGCAGTGCAAGGACTTCAGAACCCCTGGCTGTTCTGAACTGTGGGAGCTGAAAGCCAGCTGCAGGACTATTTGAAGGTACAAGCACATGTGCATTAGCAGGGAAGATCATTTGTCTTGGTCAGTGTGTAAAGAAGCTCTGGACAGTAGGATTTAAACTCTGCTTAGATGGGAAGCAGGATGTTGTATGAGACATGATCCTCAGGAACAACCTGCAGAACACCATCCTAGCTGCTCAGGATCCTCTGTTGAGAATGTACTGACACACCTGTTGTTGGCCAGCTGGGTTAGCAAGAAGCAGCCCTGCACATAAGCATGTGTGGAAAAGTAATTTCCAATGTAATGAGGTTGACAAGAGGGAGTAAGTTCAAATAAAAGGATGGTGTGATGAAAGTCTCTGAAATCAGGACTGCTGCAAGTTTTTAAGTGGGAAAATATAGTTGAAGATGTTATGAGTTGCTGCTGCCCAAAGACACTGATTTTTTCCTTATTGCTATTCTTTGAAGCTGGCAACACTGAATGAATGAAATTTTTGGGGAGTAAACCAGAAGTGGTCAAGAATGGATCAAGTATGGCGATGCGGAGGAGATCATGAAATGGCACTGTGAGACTCTTGTTTTTCACCAGCTCTGTGTGATTAATTTGCTGGTTCAACAGGTCACATTGATCTTCATGTGTCACAACTACAAACCTCAGCCAGTCATTCTCTGACTTGAGCATTATCAACAGGATTGCAATTTTGCAATGGCATCTTAATTTCTCAATTGCCTTCATATGAAAGCCAAAATCTATGTTGTTCATCAGTTACATTAGCTCTGCAAGGCCAACAAAAATGAGGAAAAATGTAAATAAACTAATAAGAACAGACAAGAGAATAGATGTGCCCTATTTCTAGTTCTTTTGCTGGCTAAAATTACAATTTTTGAAGTGAATAGAATGCTTGAAGCAGAAAATGCTGTGCTAGCTCAGCAATGTCTCCTAATAGTTGCCACTAGTTAGATGGAAACACCTCCTTACTGTATAGGAAAATGGTGTTTCTACTGTTGACATGCCAACATCTTGAGACAAGAACCAAATGTTTGGTTTAGCTGCCTATAGTAGTTGGACTGGTCTGTCCAGCAAAATTTTTGTCTATTCCTGAAAATTAGAGGCAGATTCCCCTCCAGTTTGTTGCCTCTGTAGGTGAGTTTTAAAGGTGCTTTTTAGAGCCTTTTGTGGAAATCATGATATCCATGGAAGGAAGGGAAGCAATTACATCATATGCTGAATTGTGCCCTCACATGATCAAAGCCCTTTGAAAAGTTGGTGTGACTTCTTAGGAGAAAAGAAGCAGCATGGGGTCTTTCCTGCTGAGCCTCAGATGGCAGGAGGTTGTTCTGCTTTTAGAAGTTATGTTGCTGCTGTAATTTGGGTGCTCAGGTGGGAGCGCTGTGTTGGGGAGATGTGACTTGAACCAGGGTGCTGTGTGGTGGGGAAGTGCTGGTGCTCCTCCAGGTCCCCAAATACACTGAAAACTTCATGCAGGACTCCTCTGCACTGAAGCTGCTGGGATCCACAAATGTGCACCCCTGTTACCTACTGGTGGCGTTTTGTTGGGCTTTCAGTGGGTTGGTGTTTTCTTCTTTGCAAGCTGGTGCTTCCAAAATATTTTTTTTCAACACAGCTTTCAGTATAAGCCTACCCACATTTTAATTTCCTTTTTATAATAAATTTCAAGTAAAATAAAGTGAAAATAAAAACTTTGTTACGGTGGTTTTAATTAAGCTTTGTTTGTTTCCTAAACTTCATAGTGTTCTTTGAACTCCCAGGTTATTCCAAAACCTATTAGAGGATGTACAAACCACTGCCTTCAAAATGCTTCTGTTTTCTTGTGTTTTGTACTTTTTCCCAGCCATGTTTTCAGACTATCAGGAAAACATGGACTTCTGGGAAGTGGTGCACCATGTGGGGAGCTGAGACATCACACCATAGACCTTTTCCATGTTGGGTGTCTTGAGAAGCCGCTGGGTGATACGCTAGAGCTGATTCGCCTCTGCTTCTGGACTGCTTTGCTGTTCCAGGAAGTTTTACAGGAATGCTGATCTTACATAAAGCACATGGCTAATTATGAAGGAATCATTTTAGATAGGAATCTTGCAGGAACATATTGTAATTATCATTTAGATCTAAATGAATCCAAGCAGTCTTTTCTGAAATTATAATGTTCCCTTTATGAATGTTTTTCCTCTGCTTGGCATTCTGCCCCAGTAATACAGTGATACTGTGTACAATGTGGAACAAATGTCATCTCTTCTTTTAAGAGAATGCCTGGCTCCCAAAATGTGGTAACTTTTAGTGGAAAAGGAGAGGAATGATGAGACAGCAGTGCTGCCTAGATGCTAAAACAGTGTAACTCGTGGGTTTAGAGATATGGGGGTTTTCTTCTCAATGGTCCTTTGTGGTTTTTTGGTGGTCCTTAGGGGTTTTTTAACCTTCTTATGTATTTTAGAGTTTCCAAAGACCATAACTTGTACTTTTCAAATGATTGCAGATCATTGAGTAAAACATTTACAAAAGATACTGACAAAGCATCTTAAAAGTGTGTCTGTTTAATTTTAGGACAAGGAAACCTGCATGGGTGTCAACAATCAAAGTTACATATGTGAAACGGGCCACTGTTGTGGACAATCCCAGTGTTGCAACTACTACTATGAACTCTGGTGTAAGTCCTTCCATTTTGTATGGCTTCCCTTCCTAATCTGCATGGCTCTCATACCATACTACAGGTCTGGCTTGTGTCCCCTGGGGTTTTGTATTCAGCCCTTGTTGTGCATTGCCATTGCATTTCACTGCAGCACAATCCAGAGCTGATGTGATATGACAAGGAAATAGGTTTCACAGTGGGTGCCTTCTCAGGAGTAATGGGTCATCTTGCCACTGTTGTGTGTTCTTCTCACTGATTTGAGTACTCAAGATGGCATACAGGAGTGAGGAAACTATACTGAGGGAGAAATGCCATGCACACACCACTAGAGCTTGACACACTCAAGCAAGGTATTAATTCAGTGTCTTTCATCTTGTTGGTTTAGTTTTTTGCAAGCACAACAAGTTTAAATCTGGTATATCTTTTTAAAGATGTCCTTTCAAGGAGGAGGACCAGGGTGCTTATTCTCTTCAGAATTGTTTGGAGTCCTTGCATAGAGAGAGTCTTGGGTAAATCCTGTGGGTTTGCAGTGACTGAATGCTGTGCTGTGAGGAACACACATTGCCCATTGTGACCCCTCTTATCTCCTCTTTCCCAAACCGTGAGATATGAAAATATCAAAGTTTCCAGCGAATGGTTGAGTGACTGTACCTGCTGAGTCCCCTTAGACGGCAGCAGGCAGGTCAAAGCAGGTGGTTAGCAAAACTTGATTAGGATATATGGAAAAATGGGAAGGTGAAAGCATAAGAAAGTCATAAATGCTGAATTTTAAAGGAAAACTTGTTCAGTCTGGTGGTGTCTTCTTTCTCGATTAGGAACACAAAAGGTTGAAATTAGTGTTGCGCTGTTGTACTGCCCCAAGCTTAGGCTGGGAGGGCATCTCTGCTCGTGAATTTGGAAACGTGGTGCTCTGAACATTGTATCCCTAAATAGATACTTTCTTACCACACCCAATGGTATCTTCCAGTTTTTATGCAACTGTGCTTTCTACTTAATCTCTCTGTTGTACCCACAGTTTCACTTTCCCAAAGTAGTTTATGTGTGTAAATGTATTATAAGTACAAAGACTGTCACTTAACCTGGATCCAAGGACAGGAATAGCTGACACTTCATCCTTTAGTCTGGAAACATGCTTTTGCTTCTCAAATTAGCCAATGAAGTATGGATGATCTGGTTATAAACTGAACAGTACTCTATAGTAAGCATCTTCAAGACATGCTATGCTCAGACTCCGGAGACTGGCCATGTCAATATTAATGGTAGGATTTTAATGTATTGCAGACCTTTTACACCAGACTTGTTTTCCAAAATGTCCAAACAGTTCAAGAAACAATTCAGGATAGGGGGTCGAGGGGCAGGTCCAGGGATCGTAGCAGGCTGAGAAACAGACATGAATATATTGGAGCCTTGGAGTGCCTGGATCAGACTGTAGCAGTCAGCAGCACAGGCAGGACAGATGGCAGGAATTTGTTGAGAGTAGAGGGGGACGCATGGACAGAGGAGAGTGGGGAAGGTCAAACCCAGTTTGCATTTGTGTGGTGGGAATGTAGAGGAGGATGCATTTGTGCAAAGGCTTACAGGCTCCTTGGCAAGCAGGATCTAAATTGAGCAGCAGCGTGGAGTGCAGCTGCACACTGGTGCTGGTGGCACAGTCACCATGTTTCTCCCATGGTCATCTTGAGAGGCTTAGTGGAATTGCATACAAACAGTCTGGTCCAAGCAATAGCCCCCTGCCATTTTAATGGGATGGTTTAGCTGTCTTTGTGCTCTCAGTATGGCACAGACTTTTATACTTGGCAGTTCCTGGCTGCATCATAAAAGTTCTTGGAAGACAAAACCAGATTTTGTTAGAAGGAGGCAGAATATTAAAGGCTTCTTTTTAGAGCAGACTCACAGGTCACACTGAGATCATGGAATAAGCATGTTGGTCACACATACTGCTGGATGGTTCCTTAGGAGAGATAGGTTTCTGTGTGTTCATATTCCTTCTGCCTCACAGAGAGCATCATGTACCACACCAAAATCAGGGGAGTAATTCAAACATGAGACCTGTTTTCTAGGCTTTTTGCAAATTCAGGCAAACATCCAACACTGATTTAAAATCAGTTAGTGTTTTCAAAGCTTGCTTTGCCATTATGAATGATATGGAAAAAAATTCCTTTTGGATGGAAAGGAGTCATAGACGGAGCACATCCTTTAAACCCATATTCTAGAACTTGTGAGCTTAGCTGCTGCTCAGGATTTGTGGAGTATCTTTGATAGGTACATATGCTGAGGCACTCTGAAGGCCTTCAAGGTAAAAAGTAGTGATAGTAAATGTAAGTAGTCTTAATATGAGCAGTGGAGAGCAACAGCTTTACATGCTTGGGAATAGATTAGCTTTTTAAAAGTTAATAATAACTTCTGGTTAATGAACAGTTAACATAGCAGCACCTTTTAAGTGTGGCTTCATGGTTATTCTGTTTTGATTTTAACTAGCATATGTATGTACTGAAGTAGCTTTTGAGAAGGTTTTGCTTCTCTTGACCTTCTCAGACCACCAGTGTGTGTTTCAGACCTTTGTGTGCTTGAAAACAGACCTTCTTGCTAGTCCTGTTGAATTAAATCCTGGGTTTATCTACCACCACGGCTTTGTGAGAAGAAGAAGCAGAGGAGGGTGGCATTTGAAATGGAAAAGAAAACTAGTCTGTCTTTGCTGAACACTCGTTCTGAAACATGATCCTGTTTTGTGTCCTCTTGGAATTTTTCCTGTAAAAAGGACCTTTTTCCCTGTTTAGGAATTTGAGGGAAGTTTGTCTCTGAAAATGGCTGATCTCAGCAATTCTAGGCAGCAAGTAAGATTGTGGTAATTTTAAACCAGTCGTTGAGGGTAGTGGAATAGGATGTAAAATCAAGGTATTATTTTGTTAAGGGGTGGAGTGGAGGAATGGAGAATATGATATGCCAAGCAGGTGGATAGCCTGTGTTTAAAATTAGATAACAGCCCAGTTCAGATTCCCCACCCATCTCTTATTAAAAAAAAAAACTAAACTAAAAACAGTGCTGTGTTGCCAAATAATGAAACTATATTAAGATTTATAGATATAGGTCTAATAACCGTGTAAAGGTCTAATTAGTTCTTAAGCTTGGTAGCTGGTAACATGGTGGGAGAAAAGCTGCATTATGTCTTTTAATTTTCTTGGAACATAATAATAAAAAATAAAACATGAAAATTTACTGTTGCATTTCCTCACATATGGGAAGATGTTTGGATGATGGATGATCTGGGTCAGCGTTTTAATTGAACAATTTGCTTGGACTCCCCAGAGAACTCATGGTCCCCAAGGGGGAGAATAGCAGCAGCCACTGGGTTTTGCTTCCTAACAGTTTTTATTCAGGTCTCCATGATGTGATTGTGATATGCTAGAGTTTTCCAATGTTGGGCTTTTTCCAGGCCTGACAGGTGTCTTATTGCTTAAACATTCCAAAATACCACTTTTCAAAATACAGGAGAGAAGGTAATCGAGGAATGCAGTTCCTGTGTTTTGCAGGCTAAGAAGTAAGGCTCAGAGGTTCTGGATTTTCCCAAGTTTAAGAGTATAATGTGGACTGAACACTAAATCCAGATCTCCTGACATCCATCTTCATGTCTCTCCTTGCCTTTTGAATCATTAAATGATTCCAGAGGCTCTGAACACAGCAAGCAAAGCTGTAGAAAATACATTTCATTGTGTGGTTGGAAAAATAGTACACTGTGCTTCAGGAATTATGGAGCATGGAAACAGGCAGCTGCTCACTGCTTGCAAAAAGTTGTAGGATTTAGAACTTCAAGTGTTTAGCTGGTCTTGGGTCATCTGGGTACTGTACAGCAACCCAGCATTGGCAATGAGTGAGTGTTCATATATTGCTTGTGCCTGTTTTGTTTCATTGTCTTTTTTTTAGCAGTGATACTGAGCCCCTCTGTTTCTGAAAGAAAGAAAAGAAAAGAGATCTTCACTGTTTAGGTCCTAGTGGAAGGGTTGTACAGGAAAAAAATGTTCTGTTTGCAAGCAGCACAGTCAATGTTTTTGCTGATTTTGAACATTCTGCTCATCTCTGCACGCTTCCCCTTGGAATCGCTAGACAGCTCTTTTCCCAAAAAGCACACTGCCAGAATATTCTGGCAAGGATCCGCTTAGTTGCTAAAACTAAAGCAACTGCTGTACCACATACATATTCCAGGAGGTCAGCTTTATAATAGGAATTCACGTCCAAGAGTTTGCTGCATTCTCAAAAACACTCAGTCAAACAATGCACCAGTCCCATGTTTTCGTCCTTACCCCGTGTTATCTTACCCCACATCCTTTTTCAGAGAAAGATTTTTGCTATTCCTTGCCTTTCACCCAGCCTTCTATGTGGTTGTACTTGCTTCTCTTTCCTAGGTGTCTCAGACTTCCCCTTGGGCTGCTCCTCCTCATCTGTGCTGCAGCGATAACCCTGCCATGACAAAGCCTCACCGACAGTATAGGGCAAACAACAGATGTCACAGCCACACAGAAACTTATAATAAATAGGGTCACTGAGGGAATTATTTCCTGATTTCCTTGGACTTCTTGTTGCCTAACACAGCCAAATCACCTTGTTTTGGTCTGGCTCAGTAAAATTCCCAGATCCAAAGCAGAAGGCAAGCTGGCTAACATAGCCTGGCTATGCAGATACTGACTTTTGCCCCGTGTGACTGCTTCCACCTGTGCTCTGTTAAACAGTATGGAAAGGCAAGAGAATTTCCTGGTGTTGTTTCACCCCATGCCCTACATTCCTCCAGCCCAGCTTGTCACCAAGTACCTAGATCTGTTCCCAGATGTTCAGGACATGGTCTCTGCTGGATGTTCCACTCTGGTCTCTGTTAGACTATTGTTCAACGTGTATTTTGCCAACATAGGTCTCTTGGGAAGGACTGGGCTTACAAATGTGTCATCTGGAGCATGGGAGCAATTGCCTTTGGAAGGCTCCCTCCCTAGGAGAGAGGCATAAAAACAGTGTCTGCAGATTTACTGCCT